CTCTCTCTCTCTCTCTCTCTCTCTCTCTCTCTCTCTCTCTCTCTCTCCCCCTCTCTCTCTCTCTCTCTCTCTCTCTCTCACTCGCTCTCTCCCCACCCCAACCCCCTCTCTCTCTCTTATAAATAGATTTCTTTAGATTTTCTTCTCAAGTCAAAGACAAAATGTACACCATAAAGTCATAAAGATTTGTAATGTTGTGAATCTTAAGGATGCTGACCGGGAAGCAAGGAAGTTATACATTTTATTCAAATTCAAAGGCCAGCTGAGCGTGCCTGTGTAAATCTTTGCTTGTCAGCCCGTCCGTACCTCTTGCCCGGAAGGAAGCGACAATTCCTTTCGTTTTTCGTCTCACACCAGGGGCATTCACTCGCGTCAAACAATGCTGAATGTTGTTTGTTTCCCGACAGGAAATTCCCGGAATTCATGGAGAAAATGGGAGTGGCCGACTCAAATTATGACGGGAGATCTTTACCAACAACCAAGCACTTATGAGAAATAACGGAAATGGGTTTTGGTGTCGTGATTCGTTGGGCGGAATTGATGTTGACTGCTCCACACGTGGGTTAAATCATCCAAATATCACAGGTCTAGAGAATAGATCTTGATTTCTACCGAGATGTCCAGTGAGTGTACTCTCATACTTTCGAGTTCAACCAGTTCAGTATGCCTGCTATAACTAGAGTAGATCGATCTAGATTTTAGTATAGATTCTAGATCTAGACTGAACAGTAGGCCTGCTGAATGTATGCTAAGACTCATAGTCATAGATTATCATTTGTTATTTAGCGGCCATTTAGCAGTACTTTTGTTATTAGAATGGCCACCTCTATTTAGTGCAGGCGGGTCTTGTGGCTATTCTCACCCGGTGCGCGTCAACAAATTTGGCGTTCACCCTAAACCACAGAATTCTACACTGTGATAAGAGAAAAATTGTAGAATTCTGTGCTGTGAACAAACGTTCCATTACAACTGTACTTGTAGCCTACTAAAAGCGTACAATTTTGTCTGTGGGCAGTGGAGAGAGAGAGTGAGAGAGAGAAAGAGAGAGAACAAAACAAAATGGCGACACGCGTAGTTCGGCTCGATTCGAAAAGTTAAATAGCCGTAGCATCTTTGTTTACAACCAAATTAATTTACTTTTGTGTTTTAACATCATTTTTTAACTTTGTTTTGGTCAATTTGATCGTCCACACCGATAGACTTAGACAGTATTCAGAAAGAGACAGAGAGAGAGAGAAGAGGGGAGGAGTAGATCTTGCGAGAACTTCCGGGCGGGTGAGAATAGCCACTTTCTATTAGAATCATGAAACCGAACAGAAACATAGATCTATACTAGATTCTAGATCTAGATCTAGATCTAGAACTAGAATTGGATGGTAAATATCCACAAGACATAGATCTAGCCTCCTAAGATGAAGAAGTAAATTGAAAATAGGAAGTGCCTATTTGCAACGCCGCGTTGCGATTAGCGCCAGTCTTAAATACAATGCTGTGTTGCGATTAGCGCCAGTAGCTAAATAAAATGCCGCATTGCAATTAGCTCCAGTGCTAAAGAAAATGGTGTGTGTTAAATATCAAGCTATTTACCTTTCGTTGTTGGAAGTTCTGATGGCCGAATGGACAGCGCGTCTGCGTTTGAAGCAAAGTCAAACCTTTGTTTTATGAGTGTGGGAACGAGTCCCGGTCCTGGAAGGTTGTTTTTTTTCGTTTTTTTTCTCCTCCTCTTTCTGACGAACAAATAATTTTTGGGGCTCTTTGGAAATTGCCTTCCCGTTTGTTTACATAGAAACAAAAGTGAGTGCAAAGGACAAAAGTGGCCATAGATTCTATAAGATAAGAACCCTACCACCGTTAGCCAGTAATATTTTTCTACCTTTTTTTTTTGTAAAAAAATAATTTTGGCCGGATTGAACTTTTGTGGACCCACCGTGCATGCACACTAGCCATAACAGTGGGGGGGATTTGCCCCCCTGATAGAGGGGGGGTCTGAGGGGGGCTTGCCCCGCCCCTGTTTGTGGGGGGTTCCCTGGCAAAAATAATAATTTAAAAAAAAAAAAACACACACAATCTTCACGCTTACATAGCAAATTATCAATTGGAACGGGAAGGCAATTTCTATAGAGTGCCCAATTGTTTCCAATAATTATAACTTGTTGATTTGTAGTTTTTTTATGCAGTGATGAAGCATACTCATTCTGGTTTTGTCCCCAAGAGGAGCCTATACTTGTCCTTTTACCAATTTAGGCCTGATTAAAGTTCAATAGTGGCTTTCACTTTCCTTGGTCTGTGAGTCTAATTATTTTTTTTATATATTAGGCTCAGGAGAAGATAAAAAACTTTCAGGGAGCGGGATTCAATACCACGTTTGGAAGTACTGGACAATAGAGAACATAGACAGCTTGTATGTATACGTTATCTAGGCCTAACGTTAGAGAACGTAGACACTACCTCCCCGCCCTACTAATTAAAATGCCGAAGCCTAGATGAGGCAACATCATGTGTGATGGCAAAATATAAAGTGCACCCTGAGATAATATTTTTAGATCTGAAATCTAGGTAGCCTATTGTATGACAACACCGCGGACAGGAAATAGTGCTTACCGAGTTGCACCGTCTTGTTCATTGTTATAGTTATCCAAGCGTCTTTTGACTTACTTGCTCAAACTTAAACTCAAATGATTATGATTATGAGAGATGAACAAGACTACTTTTGTGCAAACAATGTCAGAAACAATATATTGTTAGATTTGGATCTAGATCTAGATCTACCCAATATTGATCCAAATAAGACAACATCATGAGTCAAATCCTAGGAGGTTTATCAAGAAACTGAGAAAGCTTCCACAATTCAGGCAAAACTAACAATATTATGTAGAAATGATGGATACTAGTAGCCTACTGGCGTTTCAAATACCATGGGAGCTATTCAGAACACAGCGTTTCAAATAGCATGGGAGCTAATCAGAATGCGGCGATTCGAATAGCATGGGAGCTATTCAGAACGCAGCGTTGCAAATAGCGCCTGCCTTGAAAATATTGGTCTAGATATCTAGCTATGGCTATGGAATGTAAAAAAAATATGTAGGCCTACTTTATCATACTGCGCCTTTCATTTAGGTTCTAGGTGTGATGAGATGTCAATAGAAGAGACTGTCTACTGTCTGAGAAACAAAATACATCTGGCAATAATGGTTGAAAAGCTGAAACAACAAATAAAAATCCTGCTATAATCTTTTTTTTCCAGTAGGATAACTAGATCTATATAACTAAATGTTAAAAGAGCCGTCAAGTTTTCCGGGTCGGATTGTTTTTATTTGTGGCTCATTGCATTATATTATCTTTTTATATTTTAAATTTACTCCCCATAGTTATGTATAGTTGAAAAAAAGACCCACTCGCAAGCTTGTTTTCATTCCAGCACCTTTAACGCCACCATTTTGATTACATACTTTTTGGTATCTGTTGTCAAGATAATAATGAGTCTGATTTCTCTAGCATCATGGTTTTCATCACAGTCTCGCAATGGAAAAGGCAGATTGATTTCAAAGGGTTTGGGATTTGTAGTAAAGAGAAAGTACCCCCAACTTTGTGTTATGCATTTTGCTGGATTTTTTTACTCTTCTATATTGTGTCTCCGCCTAAGATCCCCGTGCTTGGGAACAAGGAAAATGCTGGATCTTAGTCGAACCAGGATCTTAGCCAAACAGCCAGGGGGAAGAATCCGCAGTAACTCATGGTCGGGTCCATAATCTGTACAATGATCTTCCCTTACTTTGAAATGAACTGACGTTTCTCCTGGGCACTAAAAGTTCTTTCATTTCAGAAGTCAGTTTTTCCTTCTTTTTTTGGTTTAGGGGTGGGGGGGGGGGGGGCTTTTTTAAAAGTACTGTGTCAGATGGGAACCAGTTGGCTTCAAGCAATGCCCCCCACCAAAAATGTTTTGCTTTCCATCTTTAAGTTCCCCGCCCATGTCATGATGCATCTTAAATCATTGTGTTGTGACCACACCGACCAAATTTTTTTTTTTAATGAAAGGCGGTTCTCTTCCATCAGAAGACCCCTTTACGCAGAGGGGATCCGACTGTCCACAATTATGGGCGCCAGTCTGTCTAGGAAATTAGAGCGCAAAACTGAAGGACGAGAGCAATGGTCGGGAAAACATAAGCGTCCACGAGTTCACAGTTTGATAGAATGCAGTCTAATACTAGTTTGTAGGCCCTCCCCACTTAGTGTGTGATGTAAGATCAGGCGGACGGCTCAGGTGATCGGGGAAAGCAAGGCATCGACGAGTTCACATCTTGGTGCTATCCCATCTGGGGTAAACATCGTAACCGCTTATCAACATTTACAACGGAAGTGTGATCGCATTCATTAGAGTGAATGATCCATGACGCGATGGACCGTACAATGATCGCACATTTGTGCTACTTGGTTGATGAGCTGAGCGCGCCCAGGTTTCTTATTCTGTTTTTTTCTTAAATGAAGAAAAAAATAACTAAATTATGACCTGAAAAGCAGGATTTTAGCCGAATAAAGCTCCTTTTGTGCAGGATCTTAGGGGAGACTTTTATAAAGTAAAAATTCAGTTTTTCCAAAACAGCGGGATCTTAGGCGAACTGGGACCATAAGGGATGGGATCTTAGGCAGAGACTGCTGTATTTTATATGTTCCCTAAGTTATTCATGATTAAATTTGAAGCAATTAAGAAATGGCTTCTTTTTTTTTTCTGCAGTGGACATGGCGTCCATCAAGAGGCGAGACTCCTACATCGTAAAAGTGGAGGATTTACTGAGAGCTGTAAATGAGGATGATACGGAGAAGGCCCAACATCTGCTTCATTCTGGAATCTGCAATGTGAACTGGGCTGATCCTACCGGGGCTACAGCGCTACATTTTGCTTGTCGTTCTGGTAACGTAGACACCCTGAGGTGTCTCCTGGCCTTTGATCCAGATGTTGATGCTGTTACGAAGGACGGAACCTCTCCACTGATGTACTGTGCCTTACACAACAATATTGCAGGCATGAAGTTGCTTCTAGAAATGGATGCAAATCCCAACGTGGCGGACAGTAAGGGACACTCACCTTTGTATCACGCAACACGGTTGAAACATTGTGAATGCATGACCCTTCTTCTGGAAGCTGGGGTTCTCTGTGACTGGCCCACGCTGATGCAGTACATAGCTTTGAAGAGCTGGAGAAAGTGCCTTAAGGTAAGCTGTACCACACGATGGATCTGAAACCTTCGTATAAAATTGAAATTCATAGGCTACAATTTTCTTATCATATGATATGAGCCTTTCCTATTTTATTTGAATCTTATGCTTCTCATTGAACAAAACTGGATAAAAGTTTTACCATGCCCTCACAGCCCGCTGTTTCCTTTTCCTGTAAGACATTGCTGCAAGCCCACCGTGACCTCGGTTCTCGCACACTTTGTCAGGCAGTTCGAAATATGGGGCTATGCTTTGACTTTACTCGAAAATTTACTCGCATAATTCAGGGCTGACCATTATTACAAATTTGGTGGAATCCTTACAATTGTTTTTCAGTTTTACGAAAATATGATCATAATACCCCTGACTCCGATACGGATATTTTCAAACTTTTGGCTACCCCTACCCTCTGCCTTCCTTCCTGGTGTAAAATAAGAACAACTGACAGACCCAGACGGTCAGAACATCACAACGTCACTTGCAGATCAAATTTTTTACACCCTCTCTGCATTGAGCTCTTGTTGTCGCTCAGTGCCCACTTTGCTCTTAGAAAAACATTAGACTTTAGAAGTGTCAAAGCCATTTTACGAATTTTGAAGCCAGATTACTACAAAATTTATATTTGTTGATTACTAAAACATATGGTAGTGGGTGGGCAGCCCTGATAATATGGTAATTGTCTTGCACAAAGTTTGCAGCACAATGTAACATGAAATCTTTACAGAATTTTCTGAGTTGTTTTAAGTATGGTATGAAGACAAAAGTGATGCGCTCCAGGTGACTCCAGTGACTTTTCTTATTGTTGAGGCTAAGACCTGTTAATCTGTTTTAGTGGCGAGGAGGTAAGAGGGTTGCTGGGTTTTTTATTGTTGTTGTTGACTTTTTGTTTGTTTTTCTTTTTAATTAGCTTTTATTTTTTGTTTTACTGACTTTGGTTCAAGGGTTAAATCATTTGGAATGTTTCAGACGGGGAAGACCGAACATCAAGGTAAAACAAACACATGAGTCGCTGCCACTTGGAGAGTGAGCGATGCTTTGTACAGACTGGGTAAATAGTGACCACTCATCTTGTGGGTGGAGCTTATAAGTTATAAAGGATCACATGCTTCCCTCACCAGCAGCTGAAAATTTATTATTACCAACCCGCTCAACTTGAGTAAACAGTGGCTATTATGATCGATTCATTCTTTGGACTTACAGTAACAACAGATGAATGATTTATGACGGCTCATCCACTGCCTCAGGGGCCAATACATAATTTATGACATAGTGTAGGGCGATGAGAGATTTGCATGGCCATCTTAGACAGATGTTATTGTTTGTTGGTTGATGAATTATGGTGGCCTTAGCCGCGTTGGACAGGTGACCATTTTACACAATGAAATTGTATAGAAAAAATGCAAGGGGGGAAATGGAAAGCAGCCGTTTGTACAGGTGGCTGTCATGGTGGGATCAACTGTATATTGGATTATTTTGATTTTGGATCCATTAGTTTTGATTTTTGTTATCCTCAACTTTTGGCTTTCCCAACGTCTAAGTTCTGTATTTCATTTAATTTCTAATTTTTAAAAAATAAACTTTCAGATTTTATTAGAGACAGATGAGAAAGCAAGGCTGTCAGGAGAAAGAGATGAGATTGACATGTGTATTCGAACCCTAGTCTCCGGCAGTGGTGATGTGAATGCTCGAGACAGCAGTGGATACACCGCCTTGATGTTTGCTGCTGAGAATGGTCACCCATGCTGTGTGGAAGCGTTGTTGCAGTGTGGGGCACAGCCAGATATAAGGTACTCCTGGCATACCTTAGGATTGTTTGCTACTGATTTTGTTTGTTTCAGTGAGGTTTTACGATGCTCGCAACTGCATAAGGTCATATGAGCGCCAAGTGGATGTCAACAGAGAAGTCCGAACAGGGAATCAGATTTACTCTGCTCACCTCTCTAGCCTCAACAGCACAAAGTCTGCTTCTACTCTTAAGGCACCCCCGAATTAGCAGTTCACAAGAGAGTGACAAATGTAATAAAGAAGTAGAGAAAAAAATGAAATGACGATAGTAAGGACGAGGAAAGAAAAAGCAGCAGTTCCGCCTATGTTGTTCCGGCCAGCCCATTTACAATTCTACTGTGCATAAGAACCTGTTAATATCCCCCCTTTGGGAATGGCCTAAGGACAACTTTGCTACTGATTTGCAAACATTTATCCTATAATATCTTTGTGAACAGTCATACTATAGGCCTACTTGATATAGAAGGCATAGATACCACAAGGTTGAAATTTTTTGTTGTTGTTGAAAGCATCGTCTCAACATTTTATCAACATCTCTATCTTTCTGCTCTCTTGTATCCCTCATGTCCTAGTTTGACTCCGACAGGAAAAATTGAATAAGCTAGCCAGCCCCCTACATATTATCTAAATCGTGGAAATGAGCACATATTTGACATATGGTCTAAATCATGCTGAGAACATATTATGGTTTAAATAATGTTGATGAGGTGAGCATGTAGAGTCATTGTATCATCTGAAAGCTTGTTCATTTTTCTTGGGGGTTTTTGGTTTTTTTTGGGGGGGGGAGATACTTACTTATCTTGAATAGTAGTCGAGATATTTGAGATTAAAAGAGATGGGGATCACCTGGTGTCAGAAATAAAATTAGCGAGAAAATATCAGCAAAAGTTTGGTGTCTTTAAAGCTTGAGTGTCCTTGAAAACTGCAAATTTACATTTTCTGTGGGTTTGATAAAAAGTTTTCAGTAACATCTACACAGAAAGGTGTTGAAGTAGAAGGTGTTGGGCCCAAAAGAAAAATTCTTTAAAAAATTGCCCAACGGCCAGAAAAAATGCTGATTTCTTTGATTACACCATGCTGCCTCACATATGGTCTAAATTATGCTGATGGGCACATGTGGTCTAAATCATGCTGACGAGCACATGTGATAAAACATTTGCAAAAATCCTTCTCATTTTGTTGTTTCAGGAATGAAGAAGGAGAGACAGCACTTCTGCTTGCTATTCCCCACTGTGTGTACTGCGTGAAGCTCCTTCTTGAGGCTCAGGCTGACGTTGAGGTCTGTCACCCGTTGATCAAGGCCGCCGCGACGTGTACGGATGACACCATAGTCCGCCTACTTATTGACAGAGGTGCTGATGTAAACGCGGCCTACTCTGATGGCTACGATTCTCCACTCATGGCTGCTGTGAAGGCTGGCAATGCCAGATTTGTCAAAGTTTTGTTGGACCATGGGGCAGACCCTAATGCAGGTACAAAAGGCATGGTGCGAGGCCTCAACCTCACTCCTTTAACGCAAGCTCTCGAAGATCCCATTTGCTTGGATGTGGTGAAGGCTTTAGTCAACGCTGGTGCCGATGTTAATTTGACAGGGAAGTATGGACTCCAACCAGTGTTTTTAACTCTTCAAAAAGGTGGTGCTAATGCTCTCAAGTTCCTCCTCGACAAGGGAGCCTCTATAAACGCAACAGATCTGTGGAGTGCTACCGTACTGAAGAGATCAATCTCTAACAATCTTGTGGAACACGTGAAAGTGTGCATTGATGACGTGACTAACTGGAAGGAGAATGTGTCAAGAAACTCTTTATGTGAATCAGGTGTGGTTGTGCCAGATGTTAGAGTTCACATGGAAGCAATATCTCAAGCAATCGTACGTGGAGACAAGTACGCCATTCAGCTTTTTCTTCGGTATGGAGCTCAGCCAGCGATGTACCCATTCCACGCTTCTCAGCCTCATAATAAAGTGGAGAATCTGGATGAAATCTTTTCTTTTCTGGCCCTAGCCATCATGTTGAATAATTCGGACATTGCAAGGTTCTTCATAGCCAATCTTTTTCTTGTTCCCAGTGATTTGAAATGTGCATATTTCTTCCACAAGTATTCAGGATTTGACAATCTGAGAGCTGTCTACTCCCGTCCCTGGTCATTACGCTCACTCAGTTTTTTGGCCCTTTCTTCTGCCTTTGGATTCTCTGATAACAGGGTGGATCGTGTTCTCAACAGTGGCCTCTCAGATCAACTACAGCAAAAACTTTTGTTCAAAACCTTGAACACTGGGACTCCAGTTGATGAATGGTCAAGCATTAGTCTTGATCATATTTAACCTTCAGTCTTACAGTCAGGCACATGGTGAAATCGGCGGCACACGGAAATCTTTTTGTTATCTATGAATTTGGACGTGTACTTGTTTTAAGTACAAAGAATTATACATTTGTGAAAGAAATTTAGAAACTGAAAATCTATTTACTATGTGCATGGCAGACTGCAGTACTATCCGGGGTTCTTTTTTTTTGCTTTACCACTGTTGCTGTAACCTTTGAAAAGTTTTTGAATTTTATTTTAAAATGAATATGACTGCTATATATAAGTGTTGCACAGGTGATCAAACAGCAATTGTTACTTGTATTTTTATGACTGTTTTTTTTTTAAGCAGTGAATACTGTTGGTCCAAATGCAAACCATTTCAACGTTTTTTTATAAGTTATCACTGATCCAAGTGTCTGTTGTTTCAAGCTTTTGTGCAAGGCAGTGATATCATGGACCATAATCACGGACAGTGTAATGACTTGGGGTAGATTTGACCGCAAAAAAAAATCTACCCCAGTTCTTGGCTATCAGATTAGAGGTGTTGGGGAAGGAGAAAGGGGAAAAGTTGGAGAAGATGAAGAGAAAGAGAGGGAGAGCTAAAGAAACTGTCCCTCTTCAAAAAAGGGTTGTAATATAACGACAAAATGATATTATTGTTTGAGCTACACAATGGGTTTGAATATGAAATGTGAACAGTGATTGCTTTTCTGAAGCATAGGTAGCTTGGAATCAAAGTAATTATATACATACATACGTGGAAATACAATGAGCAGTTTTAACTTCTTTTTTTTTGCAAATGTTATGGAAATGGTTGGGATACAACTTAATGTAAGAAGAAGCCAGCAAAAAAAAAAGCAAAAAGATGTTGATAAGATGTAAAGGAGGGAGTATGAAGAAAAAGAGAAAAATGAGAAAAAACTATTTGCTCTTTTGTGTGTATAAAGCACGCAGTAGGTCATTTTGAAGACCTAGCATGTAGTCCCCATCATCTCTTTGGGTTGAATGGAAAGTAACTTTGAAACCGCCAAAAAAACAAAAAAATCAGACTCCTCTCAAATTCAAACCTAACACCTCTTCATGGTGGTTAAATATGAAAAAATAAATGATGGAGAAAGATTATATATCGTCATAGGTACATGATAAAAGAGTAACTCTGTTAAAACATTGTTTAAAGGGTGAGTAAAAAATTTGGAGTTACTAATGTTTCTTGGGACAGCATTGATATATGTTTGTGATGTTCAAAAGTGATATGATAGAGCTAAAGTCATGTAATATATTTTGTTATCTAATAATAAGAGCATAAATTGTGTGACATTATATCCCAGTTGTTATGAACCATGTATGAATTGTGTGCGTCAGACATTCAGATTGAATAATCTTTTAAATTTCCATGATTATGTTGTTTCACACATTCCTACTCAACAGCAAGCCCTATGCGCTTTACAATGTTATTACCCCGGCATACCCTAGGACATTTGCGTAAAGAGGATCCAGGTTTTCTTGAACAAGTGTCTAAGGAAGTTACTGAGGATCAGATGAACAGGCAGGATCACCAACAAGGAAGTATTAAGAAGAACGAGATAGAGCCCAGTCATTGATGAGGTGGGAAGAACACGTTGGGAATGGACTGGGCACTCTTTCAGGAAGTCAAGCAACTGCATAACAACAAGGAAAGTGTTAGATTGAAACCCACAGGGTAAAAAATTAAGGGGAAGTACCTCGTGGAACCTGGAGAAGAGTCACGGAAATGGATGTACAGGAAAAAGGGAAGAAATTAAATTACATCAAGTGACTAGCCCAGGATAGGGAAAGATGGAAAGTGTTTGTTCGTGGGCTCTATCCTAATGCAGGGTGAGAAAGGCAATGATGAAGATGATGATACCCTAGAACACTCAGAAACATTCATGGCTTTCCAGGATGCATGCAGTGCAAGCAGCCAATTAAGTACACTAACAAAGTGACAAGATCTTTCTCTGTCTATAGCCAGGTACCTGTTCCCACCCAGGTGAAGTGAGGAAAATTAGTGCCTTTCTCAGGGACAAAACATCAAACCCTTGAAAGGATTTCAACTCGATGCCTTTTGTTTGTGAGCCCAGCAGCTCAACCAATAGACCATAGACATTGCAAAGTTTTTCCTGGTAATATAATTGTGTCACGACACAAGGGCACTAGTCAAATTTTGAGCATTTGGAGTTAATGGTATCATGGTAAAGCTTGTTTATTTGTCATGTTTTTTATGAAAAAAAGTTCTCACTATCATGAGAAGTCTGGAGATTTGTGATTGAAGGAGGTGGGGGTCACCTGGTGTTAAAGATAAAATTAGCAAGAAAATGGCCTCCAAAGTTTGGTTGCTCCCAAAGCTTGAGCGTCTTTGAAAACCGCAAATTTACATTTTTTGTGCCTTTCGTCAACTATTTAAGGTTAAATCCACGCAGAAATGTGCTTTTAAATGGATGTAAAAGATATAAAAATGAAAATAAAAAATTCGACAAAAATTGCTGACTGAGGCTCAGGCACATTCCTTTACGACGACTTCGACATCAAATTATTACTTTTCAGCAATTGTCAAAAATAGGTCTCTTTTATCTGGATTTCATTCATTAGTTGAAGAACTATCAAAATAGCTTCTTGTTGTGTTGGCTATCTGTTGTTGGTTGTTTGTCCGTTCGTTGCATCTCTGCATCATACCCCCAGGTACATGAAACTTTATGACCTCTACTTAAAGGTAATAAACTAAGTTAGGAAAGTTCATGGGGTAGAAGCCAGGGCTTTAGTTGTGGGTTAGTCAGAGCGTAGACGCGGAGTAGGAAGGAAGCAGAAACTTTAGTGTGTGCCTTCTTAGTGAATAAAACTACAGTTCTTGAACTCTGTGTTTGTTTCAATTTAATTAATAAGCATACCCTTAATGTGAACCCACACAAAGACACCACACCTCACATGTGTGATGTAATGACCAACTTTGTGACGTTTTTATCTTTTTTAGATTTAGTACATGTACCTAAACAGGGCCCTGGCATAATGGGGTTACCCCCCTTGGAGGAGTTAATGGGCAGAATAATGTTGGTTTCTTTGTTTTTATTATTTTGTGACTCATAATGACAGACAATCTCTACTCTTTTACTTTTACACTTTTGATGTAATATCTTATTGTAGCTTGTTGGATTGAGCTATGCATTAGCAAAACAGCTGGGTAAGAGTCTATATCAAATAAAGCTGTGTTGTTTTTATAATGGGTTGAATACTGGTTTCAAATGTTGAAGTTTCAGTTTAAGAAATGCTCTTTGCTCCACTCCCCCTCCCACCAACTTTCCATTTAATGTGACAAATGTGACCCAAGAAGTTTTTTAATCTAATGTGATATACAGTTGTATTTACATTTCCTTCTTACATGTATGTTATTATGTAGATATTCATTCTATACTGGAATTTTGAACGATTTTTAAAATTCAATGCTGTTTTGTTGACACAATTAAAGAAAAATTGTAAATGGTATCAGAGTAGTCTTTGACTTTGTGTGTGTGTGTGTGTGTGTGTGTGTGTGTGTGCGTGTGTGCGTGTGTGCGTGTGTGCGTGCGTGCGTGCGTGCGTGCGTGCGTGCGTGCGTGTGTGTGTGTGTGTGTGTGTGTGTGAGTAACATGCACAGGTTGAAATGTGTGTGTCTTGTAATCTGTATGGAGTTTTTTAGTACCTCTTGTATAGGGAACCAACTTGTTTCATCTAAAGTTGAGGCTCTTTTCATTGTATGGTATGCAAAATACCTGAGTTTGCTTTCACATGAAATCTCACACAACCGTGGGTCGGCCCTATCTCTCCTTGATTGGCAGAGTTGATGAAGCAGTCCATCTTCTAAAGATATTATTTTAAGTATTTGTCTGTGGGGCAAACAACATCTGTCACAACTTAACAACTTGTTTGCTTGATTCCTAACTTTGCTTACTAGGATTTTTTGTCCTTGTTTCCTTAATTTTTATCGCATACGTGTATAAAAATAGATCATAGTATGTGAGCTGCTTAATCAAAAGAAATGAAATTTATTCAGCAATACACATCTCTTTGAAATGACAGTAATGCTGTCCCTGACAGGAGCCGCACCAGTTCTGTAGGCCTACATGTACATGATGGTGTTATAGTTAGGCTCTGCTCCTTTACACAAAGGTTATGGGAGGTTAGCAGGTGCTCCAGTGTGGTTTGCTTCTTCTATCCTATCAAACATCTATCGTCCTTACCTCTCCTCCTTTTTTGTGTTTGTCATTCTCTTGTAAAACCTCTAATCTTCAGCACTTAGATGACCCTATTGTGTTGCAAGTGTGGTTTACGGGTGCTCTGGTGTGGTTTGCTCCTTCTTTCCTATCAAACATCTACCCTCTTTACCTCTCCTTTTTTGTGTTTGTCACTCTATTGTAAAACCTCTAATATTCAGCACTTATGACCTTATTGTGTTGCAAGTGCTGTAAAACACTAACTTAAAAAAAAACCCACAGAAGCCATGGGGTATCTCCATGTGTTTGCTGAAATGCTGCCGTATGCCACTCAGGTCAGGTTTGGCCTATCAGGCAGTCCCCCCCCCCCCCCAAATCCCCCGGGCAGTGCCACTGACTGTAGTGTCTTTAGATTTAGGCCATTCCCAAAGGGGGGACATTTCTCGTTCAAGCACAGTAGAATTGTAAATGGGCTGATTCATCATGTCATGCTCATAACTGTGCCTGATCTACAACAGGTAACTGCTGCTTTTTCTTTTCTTATCCTTACTATTGTCATTTTCCTCTACTTCTTTTGTATGTTTGTCACTCTTGTGACTCGTTATTTCCCGGGTGCCTTGATAGTCGAAGCAGGCCTTGTGCCGTTGAAGCTAGAGAAGTGAGCAGAGTAAGTCTGATTCCCTGTAAAGACTTCTCTGTTGACACCCACCCGTGGGCGCTCATGTGACCTTTTGCAGTTGCGAATGCCGTAAAACCTCTACTAAATAATAAAATAACAGGCAGCGTTTGAAGAAGCCTGTATTCTAAAAAAAGTTATCAAAAGTGTGTTGATAGGGGCGTAACACATTCACCGGCAACCAATTGGGAAGTGTAGATGGGATAGGGAAGAATTAAGGTGATTAAAAATTTATGAACAATCTTCTCAACCTCCTGTTACAGCAGTGTAATACATTTATATTGTGAGTAAAAAGTAGAGAAAAAGAGTTGTTTTGACAGCATGACTTTGCGGAGAATCACATATACCCGGTACCATTTCTTTAGCTATCAACTACCAGTTGACTAGAGTGGATCAGGATATAAGCCACGAACAAACACTCTCCACCTTTCCCTATCCTGAGCCAGTCGCTTGATGTCACTCCACGTCTTCCCATTTTTCTGTACATCCATTTCCGTGGCTCTTCTCTAGGTTTCGCGTGGTCTTCCCCTTGATCTTTTACCCTGTGGGTTCCAATCTAACACTTTTCTTGTTATGCAGCAGCTTGACTTCCTGAAAGTGTGTCCAATCCATCGCCAACGTCGTCTTCCCACCTCATCTGTGACTCTGACTGGGATCTGTCTCGTTCTTCTTAATACTTCCTCGTTGGTGATCCTGTCTGTCCGTGTGATACTCAGTAGCTTCCTCAAACACTTGTTTAAAAAAACCTGGATCCTCTTTATGCACGTCTGGGATGCGTTCCACGTATCACATCCATACAACAAGACTGACTTCACATTTGATAGAGTGAGATCCAAGTCGCCAAAACAAGAGACACAGAGAGAGAGGGGGGGGGGGAGGAGGAGGAGAGAGAGAGAGGGAGAGGGGGTGTAGAGGAAAAAGAGGAGGGGGGGGGGGTGTAGAGGAAAAAGAGGAGGGGAGGGAGGTGTAGAAGAAAAAGAGGAGGGGAGGGGTGTAGAGGAAAAAGAGAAGGGGAGGGGGTGTAGAAGAAAAAGAGGAGGGGAGGGGGTGTAGAGGAAAAAGAGGAGGGGAGGGGTGTAGACGAAAGAGAGGAGGGGAGGGGGGTGTAGAGGAAAAAGAGGAAGGGAGGGAGGTGTAGAAGAAAAAGAGGAAGGGAGGGAGGGGTAGAGGAAAAAGAGGAGGGGAGGGGTGTAGAGGAAAAAGAGGAGGGGAGTGGGGGGTAGTAAAAATGGGGAGGGGGAGTGTAGAGGAACCTAACTAGGGTCATGTACCCCACTCTCGGCCATCCCGGGGGAACAAATCACATTTGTGACGACAGCTTCAAAAACCCACGTCACTTCTGGGCCCCACATTAACATTTGCCTTTTTGCGTTTGACTCTTCAACCAGTCTGTTTCTTTCTTTCTGCGCACTCTTAACCCCCCCCCCCCCCCCCCCCAACCAAACCCCCCCTAGGCCATGTGAGTTGAGACCCATGTATTGTTGCAAGTGCTGTAAAACTCTTAACCCCCCCCCCCCCCCCATTTCACCGCCACAATCTTCAACCACGCCTGTTCCTTCTTGTCTTCCTCCAAATTCTGTTTCTGTCTCTCTATCTCACCCCCATTTTGCCCCTGTTTCTGTTTCTCTATCTCGCCACCCCCCCCTCCCGTATTCCATGTTTTTGTCGTCCAACCTCACCCCCTCTTCCCTTTCTCTGTCTCTGTA